CTTTTTGAAATGGTGTGTCCAAAATGTAATCAAGCTTTGGAACAGCAGATGGGCATGCCAAGCCTTTACTGACATTACAGGCCATCTTCGTGGGCTGATGTTTCAGCAGAGAACAGAACTAAAGAGAGGATACTTTATTAATCCTAGATTCCAAGGCCACAATGGACCATTGTGATCATCTAGTCCGACTACCTATATAACACAGGCCATAGAACTTCCCCAAATGAACTCCTAGAGCAGATCTTTTAGAAAAACATCCAATCTTGAGTTTAAAATGGTCAATGATGGAGAATCCACCATGACCCTTGATAAGTTGTTTCCATAGGTAATTACCCTCATTGTTAAAAATTTACAACTTATTTCCAGTCTGAATTATCTAGCTTCAACTTCTGGCCATGGGATCGTGTTATGCCTTTCTCTGCTAGATTGAAGAGCCTGTTATTAAATATTTGTTCCCCACGTAGATACTTATAGACTGTAATCAAGTCATCCCTTAACCTTCTCATTGTTAAGCTAAACTGATGGCGCTCCTTAAGTCTATCACTATAAGGCATGTTTCAGGAGTGCTGGAACAATTTATATAGTTCAGGTGCTTACAGCCATTGAATCAAACTGTAAACCCAGTATGTGATGGAAACCATTTGAAGGCAGGGTGTGGCATGTTTACTAATCCTTTAATCATTCTCGTGGCTCTTCTCTGAACCCTCTCCAATTTATTGCAGAACTCCAACTACTTGTACAATATTAAAAATACACAATCAAATGCAGTAACCTGTCTAGCCAGGCCCTCAATCACAATATAGATTAAATATCAGGAAATAAACTTCTCCCCACCTCCAGCCATGCCATGTGCCTCTTGCCAAAGCTCCGAGAAAATAGATGAACTTTGCAGCATACCTTGAAGGTTAAAATTTTGGAGCTATTTCAGATCAAGGCTGGATTGAATTCCTGGGTGGAGGACCATTCATGGAGGACATCCCTCCCTTTCAGACCAGGGGACTGACAGCTTGATTGCAGTTGTCAGAATTGTTCATCGTGAGATGCAGTCTCTCTCCATAGATCACAAACCACTTATAGCTTTATCGTCAAAACCAACTCCTTACATTTCACCCAGAAACTAATAGTAGCCAATGCGGATCATGGCGTGCTGGTATAACGTGCTCTCTGCTTGAAACATAACGTAAGCAGGCAGTTGAATTCTGTACTTTGTACGTTTCTGAATAGTCTTTTGGTGTAGCCCGTGTAGAGTGTATTGCAGTAGACTCATCTTTAGGGGACAAAGGCATGGGTAACTAGCACCGTTGCATCCCAGAGAAGAGAGAAACCTCACCAAGCACAGACTGGAAACAGTCTTGCAGTTTACCTGATCATCTGGAAGAGTTGTCGTGAATTTAAAATCTCTCCCCCCGCTCTTTCCTTTCGCCAGTTTGCAAGCTCAAGTTACAAACAGCAGATGCTCAACCTCAGTCAAGGAGGCTTATGAAAGCTTAGCTAATGCTTCTAGTTGCTTTCCCCAGCCTGCCTCTCCCTGACCTTTGTCTTGTCTGGGTGATCCTGTGCCAGCTGTCTGTCATTCATGTCCCGGTCGCTGACACTGGCTTAGATGAGAGACATGAAAAAGGGCATCCTTGCCACACTGAACGATGAAGTAACTGTACAGGACTCATGAACATACGAGGGAAAGCGCTCATCATAGTAAGAGATAACAAGGAAACCCAAGACTTTGAGGGGAAATACGCAAATAAGGAAGTTCATCTTGTATCATGTTGGCCTCTTTCGCTAGTCAGGATAGTTTAGTAGTCTGAACTTCAGAGAGCGTCTATCCAGAATTCCTGTAGCCCCATGTTCAAACCCTGGCAGGAACAAGTCGCTGTCATTCTTTTAGGGCAGATAGGACTATTTATAGTTTCTGTTCAGTATGTTCTTGTTTACTCTTTTGTGGAAGGTGCTCTGATCCCAAAGTGATGGTACCATGGGATAAAAACCTAGATGGGTAAATGTAGGCATTATAGAGCCATGTCTTAGTGTAAGAATCTGGGTTTTCTTCAGTCTTAGCCAAAATTTCCCCTTTTTACCCTCTTGTCACTTTTATGTAGCTTGCTGTGCATCAGCTGCTGCTAGCTCCACCCAAAAGTGAGCTGACTTCTGGCAGCTTGCGAAGTGTTCTGTGGTGCTTCAGGACAAAAAGTTCTTTGTAGATGTAAAATATTATGTTACTTAAAATCTCCCTCTATCCGCGTAGACTTGGGCTATGTGCTGTACACCGTAGTCCTGTTAATGTGGAGGATTCTGTGCACCATAGGTGCTGACTCCGTGGGTGCTCCAGGGCTGGAGCACCCATGGGGAAAAATTAGTGGGTGCTCTGCACCCGCCGGCAGCCAAGTTCTCATCCCCACCTCCCCTCCCCATGTCACCTCGCTTCCACCTCCTCCCCTGAGCGCGCCACGTCCCCGCTCCTCCACCTACCTCTCAGCACTTGCTGCCACCAAACAGCTGTTTGGCGGCGTAGCAATTCCGAGATGGAGGGGGGGAGTGCTCCTGCCGACAAAGCTGCATTCACTTGCTTCGGCAAAACTTTTGTCTTTCGGGGGAGTAAAGTACCTGTGAAAAACAGAAGTTTTGTCGACAGTGTTGCAGTGTAGACCAGCCCCAACTGAGCTTTGAGGTGACAGGTTTTTTAAACTTTCAGGAACAGGTCCACTTGACTGGATAATCATTTTACAAGGTTACTGTCGGTTTACTTTGGTCCGTGATACTTCTAGACTACTCAGTGTTTATTTAAAGGACTA